GAAGAAAATAGAAACCCTCACGCAATGCCAAGCTGTATTTTCTTTTAGGGAAAATGGCAATACAGGTTCCAAACCTTTTCATTGTTTATAGACTTTACCCTAACCTTTATTTTGTGCCAGCAGACGTTCCTAACCTTTTATAAATATGTACCTGAAATCCATCTGGACGGAAACCGTTCAAAACACAGTCATTTGACTGAAAAATTAAGAAATTAACATCCAATAAAACCGTCAAAAACACCGCCCAAAAACATCATCCAAAAGAGTATCAATATCCAATAAAACCGTTACAATAGCAGATAGTTTAAGGAATTTTCCCGATCAATTGGCGGTGTTTTGAACGATTTCCATCCAGATGGACCTCAAATGTATATTTATAAAAAGTTAGAGACCTTCGTTAGCACAAAATGAAGATTAGGGTAAAATTTGCCAAAAACAAAAATATTAGGGATCGCTACTACAATTTTTCCTTTTTTTTTTTATCAAATTTCTGCACCTGTCAAAACAAATATTTATCATTGTGATAGGGCATGTTTGGTAGGACAAGACTAGAATTTTTTTTTCTTTCTTCCTTAACCCAGTCGAGTCATTTCCAATAATACGTGCCTAACATGTCCTTTGTTAGGAGATAAATACAATGGAAGAACATTCCTTGTGCTTGTATTAGGTCATATAGTAGTCACCAGGACAAAATCATTCCATCATTCGAGCCTTCGAAAAATTACTACGAACCGTCTACGAATTATATTTCAGGAATCACTTTATATTATTTCATATCTAATTGCAAAAGAAAGTTTAATATGAACATGATCGAATCAAGCACATTCACGAGTGTCCGTAAAAATAACAACAAAATCAGAGCCTTTCTTTCCGGTTTATCCTCACCTTCAAATGAGAAATCTTTGAAAAAAATGCAATAAACGTACATGTATATTATCATATATTGGTGTCACCCCAAAAAATAACGAGTAGAAGTAACTAAGTACGTGTTTCAATCAGAACATATACATATATATAACAAAAAGGGAAATGGTTCTCTCAAAAAACATAGAAAATCCTAAAATCGAATATAGTAATATTCAAAAATTACAAGGTGATTACTTACTATTGAATGAGTAGGGAACTGGCCTTAGATACATTAGACATCCTCGTACCTTCGTTTTTTGATTTGTTACTTGAACTTGAAGCTCAAGATTGGAAGCCAACCCAAATGTAAAGCAATCAGTTCCGTTACTTATGCTAAAACTAGTTTGGTATTTTCCCCGTCTTGGAGACGACCTTCTGTTCATAATAGCTAACCAGAAGACGAATCACCTGGCTGAGGATCATTGGGCAGTTGTCGAACAAACTGTCCTTTCACCCGTGGACGCTGCTCAGCAAGCTTTTTTCTGCTCTCATATCGCACCTGCCAACAAAGGCAAAAATTGATTCATTACACAAATTTTATATAAATGTTACTCACAGTACGAGACGTGTGAGAATTGAGCGCATGGCGATTAAAAAAATGAATTATTGATCATAATGACTACATAGATTTTTCATTGAGAGAATCGAAGTTCTATGTATACTGTGTTGATCAAAATGTTCCATATGATTAAATAATCTGATTTTTGGCGTCTGGATTCTGATTATTATGATCTGTAAATCTTAACACAAATTTTAAATCTGCACGCAATTCATGAGAACATAATTGATTTTTGATAAATCTTGAATTGGCATGTACTTGATTTGCTTCAAAAAAACTAGATAAGTATGTAATAAGCCTTTAATATTGAAATGAAATAGCTAGGTATAATGATGATGAAAATATCATGATACCTTCTTCTCAAAGCATCTATCTTTCCTCTTCAAACGGAATTTTGTTAGAGCCACTTCTCTTTGTACTGATCGATGAGAGGTTCCCTCATGGACAATAAACCCTTCTTCATTGCCACATTCTGACGTGGCCTTAACAATTGAAATTGCATTCATTCTGCCATTGCTTCCTGAATCCATGCTGTGAAGGTGGCCTGGACCATTACAGAAACTGCTATTTGCACTCTGATCTGTGCCCAAAGACATGTGTCCCCGATCCTCCAATGTGGGCCCCAGTTTGTTATGTACCTGATCGGTGGCATCATTGATCTTTCCATCCATGTTCTGAAAATGCTGAGACATTCCGGCTTGATGGTTTAATTGATAATTTGGATGCAGTGGAGGTGAAGATTCGATAGTTCCCACTGTACCCGGACTCTGCTGAGGGGAGGGGCCATTACAGAAACTGCTATTTGCACTCTGATCTGTGGCAGAAGACATGTGTCCCCGATCCTCCAATGTGGACCCCAGTGTGTTATGTGCCTGATCGGTGGCATCTTTGATCTTTCTATCCATGTTCTGAAAATGCTGAGATATTCCGGCTTGATGATTTAATTGATAATTTGGATTCAGTGGATGTGAAGATTCAATAGTTCCCACTGTACTTGGACTCTTCCGTGGGGAGGTGCCAGATTGTATACAATAAACTGGTGGCATTGCAGAACTGTATAC